ACAAATGGAAAAAAAAAGTTTACCTTAATGTAGTTGCAAATGAACCTAAAGAGAGAGAGAAAATTTCATAAAGCATATTAATTAAAAAAAACTAAGAGGATAAAAAAAGAAAGAAGAAGAAGATATACCTTAGCATGGAGAAAAGAAAAAGGAGATGAGAAGAGAAGAAAAGAGAAAGAAATAGATATTGATGTTTTTATATATATAGTAAAGAAGAAGAAGAAATAAGTTTGTCTCATATAAAATAACGGGATTTGGGTTTTTTATTGGAGCGCGTTAGCAATTGTTTTACCGATGGATAATTAAATATTAATATTTTTTAATTACTTCATTGGTAATTCTTTCTGTAATATTCAATTTTTAATTTCATAAAAAGTTTTCAGAAACCATCAACAATCATCGATGATTTTTCAATTCGTCCATGATTATGTCTGTACTATATAAATAAAAATTTTTAATTAATTAAATTTTTAAAAAACCCGTCAAATAACACCAATGACTTTTCAAGTCATTGGTGATTTTAATCTTAAAGAACAACAAATTAACAGTGTAATTAAAAAATAAACAACTCTAAAACTCTCGGAAAAATACCAACGGAATGATGAACAATATTCACAGTTTACCAACCAATTTACTGACGAAATAATTCCAATGATAATTTATTATTTTTTTGCTTTATTTTAAATTTTTTTCCACTACAGTATATACCGAGGGAATAGTTTTGTCGGTAAAATCTCTCGAAAATTTACTGATAAAAATATTCACTCAATATTTTTGTTTGTATTTATTAATTTTTTGGTAATACTCAGTTGATCTTTAATGGAATTTATCCTAATTAATTTTGAATTATAAATTGACCTGGATAGTAACTTAAATTGAATTGTGTTAACTCTCAATTGGATTTAAAAATAATGAGTTGTATTTTCGCGGATGAGGTGAATTGAATAGCCTTGCGTGTAACAATTAAGGGTTACATTGAGCTCCATGAGCGATCTCCATTTCAAAAGCTTATGTGAGCTAGTCTACCACCAATAGCTGGGAGCCACAAGTTTCTAAAGTCTAGGGCCTAGTCCCATTACCAGAAATTCTAGGAAACATTGCATTGATCACAATAATGTTGATTGATTTTGCAACATGTTGAAATTCATGATGGAATCAATCCACAATTTTAACCTATGATAGGTCCTTTCTAGACCCCATCACCCTATCCTAAGCATTAATGGTTTTGCAGGATGAATAAGCCCTCGTATGTATAATGTTGCCTCATATGGTATATAAAGATTATCTAAAGAAAAGACATGGGGAGGAAAAATCAATCTTCTTTTCAATGCATGACTTCAATGTGAAGAGGCTATTTGGTGAAGGCCTTAAAGATAGAAGATCCTTTCCTATCCAAGTCAATTGACTAACAATGTGAAGCTTCTTCTCTTCTATTTCCCACCTTGCCAGCCAGAGGAGGAGAGCGATAAATGCAACAGCCTGAACAGCAAGAACAGCATAAATGCGGGCTTGATGTTCTTCACCTAATCATACCAGAAATGTAGATATTAAAAGAGAATTATGAGCATTCAAAACAATTCATTCAAAATCTATGCTACTCTTCAGTACGAATTGTTCTATGATCCGATGTTAGTCAATAGTTATTACAATGTTAATTATTCCTGCAAACCATGCCGACAGATTGATTAACACCTTACAGTATTGAGGGCACATGCAAGTCAGATTACGTTCAAAAAATACATGCCAGGTGACAATGATAATGCCTCCGTAGCATCTATTGGAATGTAGTAGTAACCTATATATTAGGTCACAAAATTTATGGCACCATCCCTATCTTTAATCAAACACAATTTAATCACCTCACACACGAAGGTAGCAAGGGAAATATTTTACCAGTTCTGTGAAGTTGAGCAATACTAGAAAGCTTTACTTAGAAGGGGAATATATAATCCTTTTTAGAAACACTTCCCCTTGTGTTTCCATGATATTTAAAGCACACGTATCAGCCCTGGTTTGATAAGCATCTCAGAAAAGAGGTTTCTTTGGTCACTAGATTAACCCATAGATTAATAAGTTTATCCGGGTCATATCAGCCCTGGTTTTTTTAGAAAAAATCATCTTAGTTTTTTATAAATCATTAGTGTTGACTTGACTTAGCTAAGTTTAGCCGAATAAATAAAAATACTAAGAACATGGACGTACATGTCAACCCATTTTGTAAAAATAAAAATTCAGTCTAGTTCAAGCTCCAAGTGGTATATTACCCATTAGATGAAAAAGTATTTGACAAACACAATCCAAATGATCTGAATCACCCAATAGCTATAGAATGTTTTTCTTGTTTCCTAGCTGCTTCAAGAAGAAAATTCTTAAGAGGTTTCATATCAAGTGGAGGATAAGTCATAGACAAATTGAAACAAATTTTGGGAGCTTATATATATATATACATATTCTTGGCCTCTGACTTTGCTCTTCATTTAACTTGGATCGATTCTGAATCAAATTATGAAATGAATAATTTTCCTGAATAATACTGTCCCTTAATCTTGACAAGTTGGAAATTGGGATTGAGTTTTCAAAAGCATGAGGTTTCTTTTATTGTCTTAATATTGTATTTAAACATACCAAAAACTCATTTTTCATTCATTTGAAACCTACCAATTAGTTACTTGAAAGTCGACTTTCTTGTTAACATAACTACAGTTTCAAACACAAGTACAGTATATTTGACAATGTGTTAATGCTGGCTGGGTATACTTTTGGGCTAACTATAATCTTAAAAATTGTTTGGTTTTTTTTTTTAAAAAACTTGCTTTATATTTTAAATTATGAGAAAAACTTGGATTAAATAAAAGCTACAATTTATAATATTTTTAAAATTTGTTCTTAGAAACTATAACAGCAAAAGTTACTATAATATCAAAAACTTGCAATCAATCATATTAATCCTTGTACAATATAGACGATGTTGATGAATCAAAAAGCAAACCAAAAGGAAGAAAACAATATGTTCATAAATGAAGGCACATGGATACATGTGAGAATTTGTGGGTATAACATATAATTGAATAAAAACACGGGTAATTTGTGATTTGTTTTGCAACAAGGCAGTCTACAAAAGAAGAGCAAGATTGTGGTCCTTAGTCAATAATTCAATCTTCTTCATCATGACAATTGAGCTCCCTAAACCCATTAGGCATATGCATCCACATGCTTCTATTGAAATCGACAACTGCGTTTTAGCCTTAGCACACGTGTTAGCCCTTAAATGAGAAAGCGATGTGCCTGAAGGACAACCCAACAAGGGTAGGGTTTGGTCTCGTCTACACTGTCTCGGACCATAATATTGCCTCTCTTCTTACCGCGATGTGGGTGTAAGAACTTAATCCCACTTGTTGCTTCGTGAGCAAGAGATACGGTTTTTTTTTTTTAAAAAGAAAGATTGAACCTTCAAGTCAACTATATGAAAGAATTTCTTAAATATTTCTTATAAATGTAATAAGTTAATGTAAAAATCTTAATATTCAAGCTCTCAAGATGAGTAGCTAAGAGAGGGGATTTTTGAGTTCGGAAAAGGGCAGGGTTCTCCTTCAAAATATAAGGAGTGTTCATATATCACATGCAAGCCGAACTCATAGGTGGAAGTGGGGACGAGGAGGGTCGGTAGCACTTGAAAATGTGTAGTAATGTAGGACCATTTAGGCACATGATATGAACCTTTTTTCTTTTTGTGCGTTGGTCATTAGCTAGTGACTATAGACATCTTTGGCCTATTCTATGAAATCATTCTATCCCCACTATTTCCTCATTTTATGCGATTCCGTATCTCACAAATATCCACCTCTGCCATGCCATAAGAATTTATCTCGAGGCCCAAATCTTACCTTATTTAAGATCTATGTTCTTAGGTTAATTTACAAGTTGGATCCAACCATATCCAACCTCATTTAAGATCTAGGTTGTTAAGTTATTATACTAATCTAATCTATGAGATATTGTTTTAATAGAAAAAAAAAAAGTTAACTTGACTAAATTGATTTATTATCGAGTTGATTCAAAAAACTATGTTAAATTTTTACATAAATTTATTTTTGTCGTAATTTGTCTACCGACCTGAATTTAATTTAATTTAAAATTTATGTTATTAAATTGTTAAATCAATTTAATAACTAAGTTATTAGATTAATTTTAAAATGATATTGTTCTAATAAAAAAAATTAAAAATGTTCTTTAGAATTGAGTTAACTGAAATCAATCTCAAAATCCATTTGAAATGAAACTTGAACCAAGTTAGATTTCTAGCCTGTTTTCCATCACTCCTAAACATTCATGGCAGAATCTTCCACAGGACGGTGCTAGGTTTAATAGCTATTATCTCTGTAATATATATTACAAATTTCTATATTTCTTTTAATTTTATAATATTATCCATGATTGTGTATCTCCTATATTTTTTCACGCCTAGTAAAATTAAATCCATTTTAAACAAGAACCGTGCTAAGCAAAATAATAATAATAATAATAATAAAAATTCAACTCTCACTTGGAATTCAAGATTTCATCCAAATATATTGCAAATTACTCAATTATACAATTCTAAATTACTTTTTTTCCAAGTTGAAATTCCAAATTCTGAATCATTCAAGTATTGTTCCCTCTAATTTGATTGTTGTTCTATTCAAACCTTGCCATAAAAAAAAACTATATATATATATATAAAATACCTAAATTCTTAAAACCTTTTGCCTAAACATTGGGCCACTTAACTTTATTAAATTTTCCCAACAATTCTTTCTTTCTTTTAACGTTCCTTTTAATTAAAAAAAACTAAAAAATTAGCTGGAAATATTCTCTTTTTGAACAACTATACAATTATAAAAAAGGAAGGAAAGCAAAGCTAAAAAAATAAAGGAAAAAAAATAAAAATAAAAAAATCCATGTCTACAATAACATCAAGGATTAATATTAATAGAAAAAAAGAGACAAATTAAAAATCTTAAAAAAAAACAAATAATTATAATTGACACCTGGCATAACGAACACTCTAATATATCTGACTTCTCGCTCTCAACTTGACAAGCCGCCATCAACTCCCGCGCCACCGCCTACTTCGCCGCCAGCGGCGGGGGGGGGAGCGGCGGTGAGAATTTCACTTAGAGTGGTCATAACCTTAATTTGCATCTCCAAAGCCGCAATATAATCACTCGCTTCCTCTAAGAGATTCACAAACGAAACTTTCCGGCAACCAGGAACTAGCCGGCTCAAAACCTTCACTTTCTTCTCCACCGCCGGTAACTTCCTCCTCTTCTCTCTCTCCTGTAACCGACGATCACCGTTTAATTTCCGTTTCTTCACCTTCCTCACTCTCAACAACCGCGCCCGTTTCGCGAGAATCGCGCGGCTCCACTGAGTTCTTCCTCTAGCAGCCACCGCGAGGACTCTGTTAGCGGTTTCTCGTACTTCTCGAGTCCTCTTCCCAGGATGAGAAGATGTCCGGCTTGACCGACGGAGAGCTTCAAGAAGCTTCGACGAATAGATCCGCCGCTCTGCTTCAGTTCGCCACCTCACTGCTAGCTGGTTTTTGCTGTCATTTTGAATGTGACTCTCTGTCGTTTCATGAGTCAATTTTCTCCGTTTCTTTCTTCGCTGGTTTTGTTCTTGTTGGGATGACATGTCGCAATTTAATTGGTTGCTTGCCATTAAAAAAAAAATTAATACCTCTTATTTTGTGCCTGAAATGCAATAATATAGCAAAATATAAGTAATTATTTTAAGCTTAGGATTTTATTTTATTTTTTTATATACAAAAGGTGGCCAAAATTCAAGAAATGGGTAGACAAAAAAACAAGGATTTATATAAGCTATTGTATTGTAATATGTTGCAAATATATATATATATATATATATTACCTTTCAAGAAAATAGGAGTGGTGGTGGTGATGAGTAGTGTTGGGGTGGTGGCAGAAATTCAAGAGGTGGGTGCCCCAAAAATTCAAAAATCAAGAATTTGTATAAGCTAATTTATTGTACTATGTTGCAAGAGAATATATATACCTATAGTGGTGGTGAGTATCGGTGGTGATGGGTGGTGGTAGTGATGGTGGGTGGTTGTCAAAATTCAAGAATTGGGTGCACCAAAAATTAAAAAAATCAAGAATTTGTATAAGCTAATGTTATTTTCTATGTCGCAAAATAATATATATATAAAACAATATTACCTTTCAAGAAAATAACGTTGGTAGGCGGCGGCGAGTGGTGAATGATGGTGGTGGTGGTGTTCTATTGGGTTGGGGGAGGTGGGATGAAAGGAAATATATGCCACTGAGTGGTGTTTGTGGCAAAGAATATAAAGCAAATCAAATTAATACCTTTCGAAGGGAATAAAGATTGCGACAATGGAGTTTTGGGTTATCGGGGGAGAAAAGAAGGAATGGGTTTAGTAGTAGTGGCAGTTGCAGTTGCAGTTGCAGTGGCGGTGGCGGTGGTGGTGAGAGAGAGAGAGAGAGAGGAAGGAAGAGGGTGGAAGGAGAGGCGATGAGGGGAGAAGGTGGGATGGGGGAAACTTATAAAAGCATGTCACGGGAAACTATGCGGCCTTTCCTTAATCACATTAATTGGATTACCTTTCCTTTAGAGCTCCAAGGTTCCATCTAACTATTTTTCTTTTAATTTATTCTTCTTATTATTATTACTTTTTTCTTTCTTTCTCATTCATTATCACTTTTCTTATTTTTCATATACTTTTACTATTCATATTTACATACGTTTTGCTCTTCTTTTTTTTTTCAAAATTCGAATAATAAAATTAGCATTTAGAAAAAGATACTCTTGAATGCAATAAAACTATATCAGATAAGCATTCTTAATTTATTATTTTTTTTACGATTGATTGATACATGAATTGATTTGAGAATATTTTTAATTATAAAAAAAATAACTATTATTATCAATAGAGTGTCCGGCTTGATTTGACCCGTGATATTAATTATGAACTGCCCTAATTTGATTTATATGGTTATCAGGGAGAACGTGCTTGTCATTGTTAATTTTTTTAATATCATAGTATTAGCTTTTGTAATTAGTTATGAAATAATTAATCTATGGAGTCCATTTATGGGTTAAAGTCTTAATGTTCACAAGAGTTACACTTGATTGCCTATACAATACGATACAAGTTCTTCTGTAAATTTTGTCAAAAATAAAAATAAAAATCATGAAGTGCCCTAACTTGATTTACATGGTTATTAGGGAGAGTGCACTTGTTTTTTTTTTAATTTTTTTTTATATCATAGTAGTAGCTTTTGTTATTAATTAGTTATAATTAAAATAATTAATCTATGGAGTTCATTCATGGTTTAAAGTCTTATTTTTCACGAGAGTTAGACTTGATTGCCTGTTGTTTTGCAAATTTTGTCAAAAAATAAAAAACCTAACCTTTTGACTTAATATATTATCGATATATGCATTTAGTCATGATTTGCTTATATCATCCAATATAGATCATCCCAACTTGATGTGGTAATAGCACGTTGATTACATTGATTTGTGGTATAAATTATTAAATAGGTAGTGATGAACTCAAGTTAACAATCACAAATCCCCCAATAGCCCAAAACAATAGGTTCAAGTCCTTGTTTAAGTTCAATATTTCCACAATAATTTTTTAAAACCTTTTTACATGTTTTTTAATATTTTATCCTCATTTAATATATATTATTTTAAATAAAATATAATATAAAATATTATATGAATGAAATGACTTTTTAGCTCATTTTTTTTATAAAAAAAATAAGATTTATTGGTTATAAATAGCTCATGAATTTTTTAAGTTTAGATTTACCATCTTCTTATTCTCAATATATATATATATATTTAAAGTCTATTTTTTAAAAATATTATTATATTTTTTATTTAAAAAGAGACTTAAGCATTTGAAACTCTTAAAATTTATCAAAGATAACATTTTGCATGTACTAACCAGCAACTATTATAAATCAAGTATCAGATACAAGCTGTCAATTATTTTAACAAGAAAAAATAAATTAAATTATTAAATCAAGAGATTAACTAACACGTAAACCTTATTTATAAACTATTTAGATATTTTTAGGATTTCTCAATATTTATTAAAACAAAAGGAGTTGGGATGAGTTAATAATAGTAAATAATTAATGTTTATTGGGTGAATCCAAATGAACATGCTTGTTTAGATATTGTTTGTTTAAATTTTCGCTCATGTGAAATGATATTTTTCAATTTACTTTCAAATAAAAATGGACAAACATGCAGTTGATTTTTAGACAAATCTAAAATTTAAGTTTTTTATCATTTAGCTCGGAATTAACCTCCTTTGAATGTTAATTATCACTTCCATTGGGCTAACACCACCAAATAGTCAACAAGAAATTTGATGTTAGTTTAGAATCCAAATTGGAGAAGCCAAGTTGATTTATTATATTAATATTATTCTTTCTAACCACATACCTTTAGTGTTTTCGGCATGAAATTAATTAATGTAGCAATAAACACTATGCATGAAAAGGAATATTTGGAAATTGAACATGTTAGAATAAAGTTACCCCAAGCAGTGAATCACTTGGCTTAGAAAAAAAAACAGGGAATTAATTCATATTACTGGCTTCGAACTTTTTCCAACAAGTTAAATGTGTAAAACAAGATCAATTGCATTCAAGCTTTGAATTTCTTCTAGAAACAAGATAGAGTGCGACTTGGCTTGATCATCAGTTCAACTTAGGAGCATATTTTTGATGATTTCTATTATAATAAATGAGAGACATTCTTCTGGATATATAGTGACTGCGTCATGCATGAGGACATTCAACTTTGATGGATTAAACTATATTAATGTTAGTGGACAACAATCTAAAATCTAATCATGTTAAATTGTTGTGGGACAAAAAATGAATATAAATATTTTTTAGAAAAAACTAATTATAAATGCTTTTGTTTTATATGTTTTTTATTATCACATAATTAACACATATACAGTCCACAACATGGAAAAAAAATTTTTTTGTCTATTTTATTTTGATTTGTAATTTTTTTTTTTTGTCTATTTTATTTTGATTTTTATTTATTTTCTACGCAAAGATAAAAAAAAAAGAAGGGGGATTAATTAGAGTAGAAAATAAGTGCTCTAAACTTTGCTTGTCCAAGCAAACAAGAATCTAAACATGAATATTAATTTTATGCAACCAAAATCTTAATTATTTTCATCTCTATTTATGAATCAAAAAGGGAAATATTAATCTTGGCGTGTGGTTTCAATCATCTTAATTTATAATAACTTGCTTACAAATTAAGACAGATGAATTTTGATGTATATTAGTGTAATTAGGTCAACTAAAATGGATAGAGCCTTGTTTTGGGTGCATTGCAATCATTTTATTAAGGTGCTTTAGCAAGTGTTTGGTGCTTCTGCTTTAATTTCCACGTCAACCATGACGGCAGGTGGAACATCTTTAGCTAATTAATCATCTTTTTTCGCTAATTAATCAACATATGCATTTTAATGTTTTTTATATATACTATATAGTTTCAAACGAGCAAGTTGAGTTAAAGGTTTTACTCATTGGTAATAGACTCCTGGCTTTTCACCCAATAATACGAAGTCATTAATGTCAAATTAATAATTTTCTTTCTTCTTCTTCCCTGACAGATCGAGAGTCTATGTTTATGTGTAATCATGCACTCGAGAGTATCTCCTAAATAGATATGTGTTGTTATTGTTTTTTTAATACCTATGATTATGATTATCTTTACTAGTTAGAATCATCAATTTCAAATAAATTAAATTAGTAAGATAATAGAGACATTAAAACTCAACTACTCAAATTAGTAAAATTCTAGTTTTTCTAGATATAACTTAAACTCAACTATCAAATTAGTAAGATAATAGAGATATTAAAACTCAACTACTCAATAAAAATACCAAGTTCAATGCATACAACAAATCTAAAACATCAATTACCTTTTTTTTGCAAGTAATGAGAGAGTGTGAGAATTATCATTCTTAATTACATGTAATAAATAAACAATAAATGAATATTATATAGATTAAATACACTCAGTGTAGCAGGCAAGCGGTAAAAAGTTTATACTTTGTTGGTAGATTTCATGTTAACAGATTCTTCCTCATGATTTAATTTTTGAAATTGACTGATCACCAATGAATAACTTTTAAGAATGTGTATATGATATAAAGTAAGAAGAAGCATATAATAAATAAATAAGTAATATGTAGAAAGTAAATAATGGTCATCCACCACAAAATTTAAGTATTTTAAATGTAACTCAACTTCAACTATCAAATTTAATACTCCCTCACCTTTAAAATACCTCAGGTCTGCGGATGTGATAGATCCAAACGTGTGTGTGATTATTTAAATGCTACTGTTATTTGAAACGAAAGTGTTCATGAACGGAGTTAGTAGCCTAAAAAAACAGAGAAAGGGATCATACATATTTATGAGAAATATAATTTTAACCATAATCTCGTAAATTCTCATTCCACTCTTCAACTGAAGAGCCATCCTTGTAGGCTATAACTGTACTTTGACTGGGATTAAAGCTTTGTCACTGTTTATGAAAAGTTGACACGATCTACTAGGGTTCGTGAAGAGAGATTCAATTTTCATTGTCCATTCTACAGCCTATAAATTTCACTATACTTTCACATATTTACTTATACAGGGAGGCATGTCATGATCTAGCTTTTGATATAAAACGAAAAGAAAAATATCGTAGACATATTTACTTATACAGGGAGGTCATGATCTAGCTTTTTATATAAAACGAAAAGAAAAATATCGTAGAAGCATCTGCCTCCCTTATCTTTACTTGCAAGGCCGTTAAGCTATAGATTATACTACTGTGCTTGCCATCCTAGAATAAATTATTTCTTTTCCATTTTTCTTTATGGGTTTATTATTGATTGATGATGTGAAATTTTTTAATGGGATAACAAAGCAAGGGGTTGGCCTCCACTTGTTGGTTATGTTGTGGGGCTAAAAGAATTTTGTTTTTATTCTCAGCAATGATTAGTGGGTGATGCACATAAATAGAAAATTAAAGAAGAAGAAAAGGAAAGCATGGTGTTGTTTTCATGGCACTTTCTTCTATTTTATTGTACTCCCTTTATTTTATTTATTTTTTATTTTGTAAGGTTTCTTCTACAAAACTCACCTTCAAGTGCCGTGGACAAGTTTGATCCACGTTGCCAATGAGTCCATTGTTCTTGATATCCAATTGTCCCTCGTCAGACAACTCCATCCACGACTGCGATTCAAAATCATGAGTTGGATAACAAAGCCTTGTATATAAACAATACTTATAGTACTCTTGAAAACCAGAAAACAATAAACTTCAATTTGGTTTTTTAGTATATTTATTTTTTATCTGTTAGATAAAAAAATTGAATAACCAACCAGTATATCCAATACTGTTTGTTATTTAATATAAAAAATAATATATATCAAAGTCGGGTCAAACAATATTTATTACCCAATAAATATGAATTTTAGATATCCATACTGAGCAAAAACATTAACTATTTCATACATTCATCTATCAATTTAGGGTTTTAATTGAAACCTGTATTCTGGACACAAGTATTAGTATCTGCCATATGTCATGGGGGAGGAAGAGATACCATGAAAGCAGAAGAGAAGGGCCATGCAAATAGAGCCTTTAATTATGTTACCATTTATGCAATTCAATGACAATTAACATGCAATAGACTGGTGATACATGCTATGGGTCATAGAACGAGGAAAAAAAAAAAAAGTCTTGAGAGAATCAGTATAGCCCCATTACTTGTGACATGCCAGAGAGATTGCCTCCTTCAACGAGACAGGCTTGAATGTCATCAATGAAGAATCAATATAAAATGGAATTTAATAATATAAAAAAATCTTCCACAAATCACTCGAACCACGGCTAAGGTCTTTCATCAAATATTAAAATATATACTACAAATTCTTATTACTCCCAATCTCTATATCTAAGTTCAGTTTCTTTACCACCAATTACAGCTAATTAATTGAAAATTATAGGGCAAATTCTATATGGCCCAGAAGTTTATTTTTTCAGTAATGTAATTAATTTGATGTAAATCTTATGATATTGGCCTTTACCAAAGCAGAGCAAGTGGCCCAAATGAATCGAGTTCTTAAGAATCTAGCAATGGTCCTAAAGTTTTTAAAGTTATCTTATAGACAAGAGGAGGGCATGTAGTAGACAAAATTAAACAAGGTCAGTTTTGTTTTCTGCCATGAGGATTTGCTGCACAGCATCATAGATTTACATGTTTCTGTTGCTGGAATTGATTTAAAAACTAGGGTTACTTGTACAGTCGCAAAACCTGAAGTTATCTCAGTCATAAAATAAGATTTTTTTTACTTTAAAGCATGATCATACAAGATTTGGCCTAACTGGATTATCAAAGCTGTTATCTATTAGATTTGCCCTAATAATTGGTCATATCTGTTCATTGGGTACTTGTCTAACTATTTATGTGCTCACTTATCCATATCTTAACCACTTCCTATGGATCATCCAATTAGGGTTTAGTTTAGTGCTTTCAACAAATTAAAATATTTTTAATTTAGGTTTTAATAGCTGGATTTTTTGGGGTTTGTAAATCCTATGACTATACCGGACAAACAACGCTGATTAACGTTGGTTCATTGTTCCCTAACATGGGATTTTAAATTAAGTAATAATAAATTCTTGTCATTTGCTCTAAAATCATAGTTTCTTCTTTCATTGGCCATTGTTTATTAGTATTTGGATTTGACCAAGCAACCCACATCTTTTTTTTAAGTCACAGAACCGACTGTTGTGAACTGTTATTGACTCTCATATCTACTTTTGAGTTGTTACATGTTTTATTTATTTATGAAAGCATGATTCTGAATATGGATGATCTATTTAAATCTTGTTTGAAAAAAAAATTAAATTCGTACACGAAATTAAATTGATTAAGGATAGCCTTGATTGTTAAAACAAAAAACGTCATTATTATTCTATCATTTATTTAACTTCTTAAACATAATTTATAAGAAATAAAATGGTCATGAATCTCAGTGTTCTCTGGGAAAAGATTACCGCATGAAAGAGATCTTTGAGATGATAATTAAAAAAAAAAATTCTCGATATCAGAAATTGTTATTTACTAGTTTAATTAGTATAACAAATTGGTTTTTTATTTATAAATATTATTTATTTAAAATCCAGCTTTGCCCATTACTCGAACAAAGACTAGGTTAATTTTAAAAAACATTACTCGGGTTAATTAAATTAAGTCATATGTTAATTTATTAATCTATTCGCTTGACTATGTTCATTCAAGTCATTTATTACTTGAAACTCAACATAAGTTAGATGCCGATAAGGATAAAATGTTTGTGTTAAGGATAAACATGAGATTAGATGGATTAACGCGTTTTAGGCAGGCTACTTGGACTGCAATTAATACTGTGTTTGGCAAACCAGGACTTGACCTAGCGGTGGAAGGGGCTTGTTTTCTTCCACTGCACCTGGATTCAATCCCTAACGTGCACGCCTGTCACCCCGTGGTGCCTTACATGCCTATTGGGTTTGCAGAATATTCAGTGGACCGTGGGGATTAGTCGTGATGCTCACAAACTGGTCCGGACACCCCACGTAAATTAAAAAAAAAATACTATGTTTGAAACATTATTGGCTATACACACATTGATCCTTGTCACATGATACATGATTAGGGGCTAACTAAATATACTTTCTATCCATTAATAAATTTATTTGCTAGGGCATAATATAGGAGGCTAATCTTGCCTTTGCCGACAGTGAAATTTTAAAGAATAAAATACTACGCAGGTTCAAATAATTGACGGCACCGGCATCATTTAGCCAATCAAACGTGCACGAGTGCTTGCCTTCTTTTTTTCTTCCACTGCACCTGGATTCAATCCCTAACGTGCACGCCTGTCACCCCGTGGTGCCTTACATGCCTATTGGGTTTGCAGAATATTCAGTGGACCGTGGGGATTAGTCGTGATGCTCACAAACTGGTCCGGACACCCCACGTAAATTTCAACGGGATCCACCGATATATGGGGGCCACATAAAACTTAAAGGGGGCAATCGCAACTGGCCGTGACTAGCGTAGCAGTACCACGTCCAGTTCAGGCAGCTGTTGCTTCGATTCTACCATCCGAGGAGAGATCCTTCCCTGGATTGTTTAGTCCATGCCATCGTTACTTTTAAGGAAATGTAACCACGACAAATCATGACCACAGTATGTGTTTATTATTGGGTAGCTCTCACGGTTCAGTTCAAAAAGATGAGTTTTAAAAAAGTTTTAAATTATAGTTTTTTTTCTTAAAAATTCGTAATGAATTTTTATGTAAGTTTTTGAAATATAATTTATATAGTTATTTAATATAAGTTAGTCAATAAAATTATGATATCATATCAAAAAATCATTGCTAAATTATTTTAGCAATGGTTATATGATACTTTAAGATATTATTTATATATATAATTTTCTAATATATTTACTTAAATAAAAGTTAGAAATTTATATATACTTATATTATTTTTTCAAAAAGATAAGTTTTAAAAAAGTTTTAAATTATAGTTTTTTTTTTCTTAAAGATTCGTAATAAATTCTTGTGTAAGTTTTTGAAATATAATTTATATAATTATTTAATATTTTAATTAAAAATTCTGTAAATTTAAAATTTATATATACTTATACTATTATCTACTTAAAATTCATCAAATAAAATAGATAAAATAAGATAAAATTGATAAAATTAAAACTTATGATTATTTAGTCAATAAAATTACGATACCATATCAAAAAATCATTTTAGCAATGGTTATATAATACCTCAAGATATTACTTATATATATAATTCTCTAACATATTTACTTAAATAAAGGGTTGGAAATTTATATATACTTATATTATTTTTTATTTAATTTTTATTAATTAGAATAAAAATAATAAAATTTAAATTTATAATTATGTAACCCTTAAAATTTTAATACCATATCTAAAAAGTATCTTACTCTAATAACTTAAATTCAAGGCACCGCTAATAAAGATATCACGGGGGAGTGACAGTTTTGAAGCATCAAATGGAAATATCTATGATTCCCTATATTTCAAACTTCTGCACTGATATTGAAAACGTTGACACTGTACAAGTGATAACTGTTTTGAACATGTATCTTTGAAATAAATGGAATATAAACCAATAGTGTAAGTATCTGATGCAGAGAAACTTGACCTTTTCCTGTCTCCCTTGATTAAGACATCAATTTAAGCATTTCGTTGAAGCAAATACAAATCCTAAGTCAACTTTAAGATCAGATAAAGAGTGCAGTTGCGATATCCATGCAATGAAACAGAAATGTTGAGGCATTAACGTGCTTGATTTTTATACTTAACCCACCAAGTCCAAGAAAGCAATCTATAAAGAAGAGGCCAGGGAAGATAGGAAATCAGAAATGGATAAAATATGCCACGGTTCTAGAATAATTAGCGTTACTTAAAGGGGGGCTGCAAGGGAGAACAGCTGTGAAGGTTGGAAAAAGAAACTCAATAAAAGAGCGATGATATCTGTTCTCTACATCTATGTTCTCTCTTCCAAAATGTCAAACATTTACATGTGACAATCCATTGACATCTTCGAATCCAATGAAAATGTCATTTTCTTTGATTTACTGAGATAAGCTGCTCCATCCAATCAACTTCCATGTTTCATGGAAAATATATCACAAAATTGTACCAAAAAAATCTTACAATGCATGTGCATGAGAATGCTGTCAGCTGGTAACTGGTAGCTGCAAGTTGTTTGGTGAAGATTTGGGCTTCACAAGATATGCAAGTGTGATTTCTGATGGGGTAGACCGGTAGAGTCTGAAATTTCTTCTAGCAAGTGATTGATATAAGCAGACCTCATCTTGCTTACAATAGTGAGCCTGAAAAATGAATCAAACTGATTATTTCTTGGTCAAAAACTAACAGGAAATTGTAAGCTTAGCATGGAGTTTTCTAAATGGAATTTCCTTGAAAATGTATAGTCGGAACATAGAATATATATCCGCTAACCTTTGTGTTTAGCTATCAAACTGAACTACACAGCAATAAAGTAAAGGCATACCCTGCAATTTATTCTTCCTATTGAAGAAGAGGCAGTGCATCTTTTAAAATCAAGGCTCGCAGTTCCTTCTGAACCTAAATAACTAACCTTCAAGAGGGATCGATCAGCACTGCATTTTTGGGTTCAGTTTCAACACTGAATTTATTGCGTGCTTCCTGCAGTTGAGTTCACAAAGGAGAAGATTGTTGAGATAGATGGAAACAACATATGAACAAAAACAGGTACAAGCAACATAGAATTTTACTAAATAGAGTTATCACATAAAAATTCTAATTCAAAATTTTATTGCTGAATAGTTTTACAACTCTTTAAATAAACCTAAAAACATTAACCTAGACAAACTAAATAATATGAAAAAAAAAGCAATGAAAATCCTGAACAAACTAAGAAATCTATAATACAGAGGAAAAATAACAAAACTAGCCCGGACAACACCTTCTAGGCCTAATTTGAGGATCATTTGTAACAATGAACTGATCCCTTATGGAATTGGGCTAGTAAATTCTCATGGTAAAATTTAAGCACAATCCAACTGTTAGATTGAAAGTTATGGCTTTTTTTGTTAGGTCGATCACCCTGCATGACCTAGGCTTTTTCTTAGACTTAAACCTATCCCATCGGTCCATAAACATCCCTACATGGCTAACCATCAAGCTCAATTATGATGGATCCACAACTTGCTGATCGGAACCACCTACATCAATTATGATATGCAACAAAAGTGAAAAAAATAAAGGATGAAACATGGCAGGGAACAATAATAACTAGGCTGGATCTTAGGAGACCTATGAGAAACGGTACTCTTCAGGTAATGATATTTCGAGACACAGGTTGCTCTCAATGGATGAACCACCATCAACTTCAATTGTCTCTGTGTCAGCTGATGATCGATTCCTGAGACGCTTCAAGGATTCGGATTTTGATGCTGGAGGCTGTACTCCTTTCAGGTCCAAAGTTTGAAGTTCAGCTTGTTCCATGTTCAAGTCTAGATACCTGATTAGACTGTTCGTATCAGCTACAGTAAGTCTCCCTGCAAATACCAAATAAAGTTTTCAAATCAAGTTAATTGAAAGGAAACTTCAAGGGAATTGATGCGGCCAAGAAAATGCAGGAGTTTGTTTCAAATTCTCAAAATCATCAGTTGACACAATAGCATCAAACCTGATAAAAAAGATTTAACAAAATAATCAGAACAGAAACCTTCCAATTCTTTATTCATAACAAAGGAAATCGTCTCTCAAATATTCTTTCAAAATTAAAAGTAGACTTTTGGATTAACCATCTGTTACCCACTTATATGTTAGGATCGATTCGATCTTTGCCCAGAGGCTGAGTACAATATTTTAACTTGGTTTGGACACTTGCCTCCAGAGGCTGAATACAATATTTTAACTTGGTTTGGACGCTTGCTTGAATCCACAGAGAAGCTAATATTATTAGGTATAGAGAAAGCTACAACTACACAACAATGGAGGAGAAAGAAACTCAACTCAACTCCACTCCCATCTCTCTCACTCAGCTTGCCACTACAAGGCAGCTCTCTCTAGCTCTCTGTTTCTCCTCTCAATTGGCTCCACTTTGCTCATACATATGGTGCCTATTTATAGTTGAAAATGGGGGAACACATCCCATTTTCATCCATGATTTCTCCCAAAAAATCACCACAAATCCTCCCTTGATTTGCAGCCATGATTTTAGCCCTTTTATTAACTCCTTTCTTCAAGCCTTGTCTCCATCCCATCAAAGCTAGGATTGTGTGAGTTTGTCTCCACACTCAACATTATACAATTCTGAAATTTAATTATTATTCAGCATTACATATTCCATGGTAAAGTACTGAGCATTTCAGTGACAATCAGCTAAATGTGAAAATGGAATTGTACGACTATTCGAAGAGCTAGAGAAATGGGCAAATGGGACAAACAATAGTTAAGCTTACAATGATACTGGCAAGCCAGCAGCAGCTAAATTAGCATCCACTTTGATACGCGATCAGCACTAGATGCAACAGCAACTTTCAGGCCTTTGTTTTTGCACTGTCATACAGGAGGCACTATGCTAATGTAGACTCAACACAATCTCATTATTCAAATTCTGGATTTTTGCAGTTTCATACCAGAGTGATGAGTTCAAGGGCAGCTGGAAATCAAATTCCAGGATTCGGTTTTGCATGCTGCAATGTGTGAAAGGACTTTGGGCCTCACAACACAAATTCACACTGCATTACAAACTTGGATATATAATCTTTCACACTAATCAAACCTTATCTAGACATATCTCACAGAACATTTTCTTTTCCGCCTCGATCAGGACCGAATCCCTTAATACCCTTTACATTTGCAACGCCAAAGTAGTTTGCTTCACTAATACATTGAATAAACTCAGCAGTAAAACTACAGCTACTTCCCATCAAATTTCCATCTCAAACAATCAAATTTCTGTCACTCAAACACCAAATTCCAGAAAATAAAAACAGAACCATTGACAACATTATACAACAAGTCCTCTAAATATCAAATGGCAAATCATTTGCATTCTTTTCAAGAAACAAAAAAGAATTGCTAACATTGAAATTCTCGCTAATTGAAACCAAATATCCAATCACTTATTATCTAACAAGAAATAATCACTGTATCAAAGCACAAAATCTCAAACTGAAGAACCATACATATATATATATATTACCCGTGCCCATGAATGACACAAAATCCTCCACTGTAACTTCAACTCCCATCTCAGCAAAAATATCAACACCTGCCATTCTGAAAGGCTCTTCACTATTGAACAACACTCCATCCATATCAAAAGGCACAGCAGATACCTTACCCCACTTTTACTTCAGTTTCATTCTTTTGCTCCACCTTCACATGTGCCTTCACTACCATTTTTCTATGAAAGACTAAATTTTTTGACCTCCATTGAAAAAGTTAGTAGAAATTGAGATGAGTTCTGACCCTTTTGGATTACAAGTGAAAAAGAAGAGAGATTTAGCCCACCTGGGGTTTGATGCAGAAGAAGGGGATAGTAGTTTCATGGGCCATGACTTGGCCTCCTCATTTTTTTATATATATATATTTTTGGTAGCTAAAGTGGTCCTGATTTTGAGTGGCAAGTACCAGGTGGTCTGTTTTAGTTTAATAGCTATACTGGATTTTGTTAGGACAAAATTGGTCCATGATATTGTATATATTGACAAATTGGTCATTTTTGGAGTCAATTATCGTGAAGGGAAGTTTGGGGGCGAGAATGAGTTTTGGTTCAAGCCTTTTTTTAGTTGTGGAGAAATGGTTTTGATTATTTTTTTTAGTTTATTTGCGAGGCATTGAATAATGAGGTGCCTTTTGTATTATTTCTAGTTTTTTCTTATTTCCTTTTAAAAAAATAAATTTATTTAGTTAAAATTATAAAATGGATTTTTATATGTAAAATAAATAAAAAAACATGTCTCCATAAAAAATAAAAATAAAAAAACAAGTTGTATTAGCTTTTACAAAACTTAAATTTGAAATACAATGTAACTAACCAAATAAATTTTTTATATAATTAAAAAAATAAAAATTATCACCACACCAAATAAAAACTACCACAATACTATATAATCTCATTTTGTGACCACTCTGTTTTTATGGTATGGATTAAGAACTGACTAAGAGGTTTATTTGGGTTGTAGCCTAAGATGAGCTTAGATAGCCCAAAACAGGTCCATTTCAGTTTGAGAACCTGATTTCTCTACATTTACAGAAGCAAAGGTCAATTTTCAGCTCCATGTTACCCTTTAGATTACTTATCCTAGCAATCAGATCAACTTTATGACCCCATAATTACAATTTACCTAGAGCATATGCAGGCTGCATGCTTTCTTTTTTCAAATTCTTAATGATCATAATGTTTTGCCATCAACCAATAATCATGCTACTGCTAGCTAGTAAACACAGTTCAGTAAACTGTGTTTTCTGGTGCTGCACTTGATAGTAGAGCCCTACAATGCAAACTCCAATAATGCCAGTATATTGTGAATTTGTAATCACTCCACTACTTCATTATAGTTATAGTGCTCACATTTTAATCCTAGTTTCCCACTAATCATGATTATGCAAAAACTGTTTTTCTTCTATATATTTGCTTCCTTGAAGCAATGTTAATCAACCAATGATCAAACTAGAAAGGAATACAAGGACACGTCAGAAAGACCTTTTTTCAGTTAGTTTCAGTTTAAAGTAAATTATTTTTTAATCTTAATACTTCGCATACTTAGATAATCACAGGTTGATGATGAAGTCGACAGTTGTCATATTTGTGCCAAGGCTGACATTCTTGCATCTTCAAGTTGATGCTAAGAGGCTTGTTTTGAAGGAGACCAATGCAGAAAAAACTGGTAATCAGCATTTGTCTAATGTGCAGTAGAGTGATGCTGGAACTGATATTAAGCCAAATAATCAACAAGGAAAAGCAAGCACCTATGGTTATCCTGTGACAGGCTCAGTGCCAGCGGTGGAGACCAAGAATGATAATGCAACTAGCATTCCTACTACTAACAACAATGGCATTCCTGATGATGAGACCAACAGCAGTTATGGAAACTATGGAGATCCTTCTGGATCATCTACTGAAACTCACCATTCCTTTACCAATGATTGTCAGCCTAGGAAAGGCTGTTGATCAATTATGAACCAAAGCAATGCAATTATAGCAAATACTGTGGATTGGGCACTCTAAAGATTAAGAAGTGCAGTCCACACAGCTGAAGTATTTTTATGGTATTTAACTGCGAAGTGCTCATGTTACTCTTTAATCGTATTTACATGTCATGCTTGTCTTGCTTTTAAGCTGCTGCTTTGGTGCTTAATACTATATTTGAATAAAAGCCATGACAAGTGTGCTTGATGTGATATAGTTCAAGCTTTCAAGGATTGATAAAGAACAAATTGAAAAAATGAAAATGCATCTAAGCACTTGGTCAAACCCGTAGGTTCAATAGGCCTCCTGCAAGCAAATTCCTGCACTATAACCAGTATACTAGATTTTAAATTTTGCAGCAGTAACATTCATTCTCCTATACTTGCTGACAAATTGAGAAGAAAACATTCTGGTTGTAGTAAGTTACTTTTCTTTCAAAATGTGAGTGCTTCAATGCAATCATCATTTCCAAGAATGCGACTCAATATGTTAAAATTTGGTGGGCTTGATTAAAAAAACTTGAGAATAGTAATCTTTTCTGAACCTGGATCGGGATTATGGAACTGGTACCTCCATTTACAACTATGACAGCTAACTTCCCTCTTTGGATCACAACTTCTGTTCTGAACATGCTTCCTATCCTCATTGATGCTCTAAGAATGCTTCTGACATTTCATAACTCACCAAAAATCCTTGCATGAACATGTCCCAGTCTTGAAATGATGGTAGCGAGCGCGGTCCCTCACGATTATCTCCCGATCATAGACTTGAGAGATTAGCTTGAAGGCAGAATGACAGTCCTCACACATCCTTAAATTCTTCACTACATGGATAGTTGTTCCTGGTTTCGTGTTAATCAATCCGAAAGCAATTGCAAGTTTTTCACTGTGGTACTGCAGTTCAGCTTCCTTCTCTTCCTCTTCAATATCAAATAAAACTTGAGAGGTATTTGGTGAATAACCTTCCATCTTTAGCCTCTTAATCATATTTTTCAACATCAAATAGATATTCTTCATTTGCGGATGCGATCCATCTCCCATTTTGAATTCATGGACAACACCATCAAAGTCAATCATGCTTATTCCGGTGCTGGTCTTGACTCCTCTTTCCTTCATTAGTTTCCTCACATTTGCTACATCATCCCATCTCCCAGCCCTTGCATAGATGTTTGATAACAAAGCATATCTACCACTATTTTGAGGTTCCAATTCTAGCAAAATCTTCCCTGCTCTCTCACCTAATTCTACATCTCCATGTTTCCTACAAGCCCCTAAAAGTGCTCCCCAAACAGCAGCACTGGGTTCCATTGGCATTGAATACATAATCTCCTCTGCCTCTCCTAATAGCCCTGCTCTTCCTAGGAGATCAACTACACACCCATAATGCTCCATCCCAGGCTCTATACCATACACTTCCTCCATGGAATACAAAATCCTTAAGCCCTCATCTACCATTCCTGAATGAGCACAAGCACTTAGGACACCCAAAAGAGTTATCCCATTTGGCCTAAACTTCTGTTCTTGCATCTTAAAGAAAAGCTCAATGGCATCCTCTGCTCTACCATGCATACCTAGCCCACAAATCATAGCATTCCAAGTGAAAACCTCTTTCTTTTCCATCTTCTCAAAAACATCCCATGCCATATCAAGCCTCCCGCATTTCGCATACATATCCACCAAAGCAGTACCCAAAACAGCATCAGAGGAGTTTGAATTATTATTCACATAAGCATGAATCCATCTTCCTTGATCAAGAGCCCCCAAGTTTGCACAAGCAGCTAGCACACTAGACAAAACAAATTTCCTAGGCCTAATTTCCTCTCTTTGCATCACATTAAAAACCTCCAAAGCTTCCTTGTAATACCCTCCTTTGATATAACCATCAATCATAGCACTCCAAGAAATCTCATTCTTTTCTTTCATCTCATTAAACAACTCTCTTGCTTCTTCAATCATGCCACATTTTGCCATACCACTGACCATCACATTCCAAGAGCCAACATTCTTATCCTCCATGCTCCAAAACAATTCCTTAGCTGCTTCCACCTCTCCACACTTCAAGTAACCATCAATCATTGCGTTAAAGCAAATAACATCTGAGTTCCCATCCTCATCTAGCATTCTCCTTGCCCCCTCTACTTCACCAAAACTTCCATACATCTGGATCCCAGCACTTCTTATATGCACATCTCCACTAAGTCCTCGTTTGATCACATGAGCATGCACCTGCACCCCTTCTTCAGCTGCTTCTGCAGCCGTGCAGGCCTTAAACAATGTCGGATAAGTAAACTTATTAGGCCTTGCATGTGCAACCATCATCTTGTAATAACACCATATGGCCTTACATGGCTCATTGGTCTGCAAACAACCTTTGATGATAATGTTAAACACAAAAACATTAGGGTTTGGGACATACTCAAAGACCTTTAAGGCAAAATTCAAGTTGCCAAAATGAGGATTTGCATAACATTTCACTAAGGTACCAGATACATAGTGATCTTGAAAATGGCCTGTCCTTAATGCCACAGCATGGACTTGCTTGAGATGATGAAGTGAAGTGCTGCTTTTGGTGTTCAACAGATCTAAGATTGTTTTCTGGGAAAGTTGGGATGTGAATTTGTTTTCTGTTGGGAAGTCTTTGGGAGCAAGATGATAGGGAAGATTTGTGGTTGTGGACATGATTTCTTTGCCATCTTCGAGTGGCCAGGGGCAAAATATATTATATTATAAGACAGCGAGGCCCAATAATTCAGTAATTTTAGCCCAGGCCTGAAAACTCACCAACAAAAGCCCAGGCCTGAAAAATATTATAACAAATATTAAGGTACCTTTTAGTTTACATCGGAGTTTTAAAACCTGAACCAGATCAATTTGAAATTTGGATCAGTTTGAATAGAAATTTTTTTAAAAATATTTAATTATATCAAAACTTAAAAATTTAAAAATATTTAATTATATCAAAACTTTACCATTACCTCGTTGATTTTTTTAATTAAAAATAGAATAATATACAAAAAAAAATAGTTGCTAAGGACAGTGGTAGTGACAGGTAGTCCAATGGGCTTAGTGGTCCTATCTGAAAAGGCTAATGGCCCTATATTTTCACAAAATAAGGTCCAATCAACATTGTAAAATAATTGTCCTTAATAAAATAAAAAAATTAAATATATTAACAAGATAGTTTGATAGCGTTCTACATTGTAAAATAATTGTCCTTAATAAAAAAAAAAATATATATTAACAAGATAGTTTGATAGCGTTTAGGATATGATCCCGAGTTTACTCTACACATCATCAAGCGGAGCAAGTAATTTATTAATTTGTTGTAAGGAACTAATCTTTAATTTAACTGAATAATTACCCTATAATTAAAGATAGATAAAATAATAATAATAATAATAATAATTTTATTTTCAAGTCTAGATTAAGATATTTTCATCATCCTGGATATGATTTTTTCTTCCTATTGTTTATCTATGAAATAACTAGTGATATTTACTCTAGAAATATTTTTTTTTCTCAGTTTAATTTGGATGATAAATGTGTTTATTTCACACGTTATTATCCAAGATTTGAATCTAATAAAAAGTGATAAATAAAGATCTATGGTAAGTTTATTAATTATGCTATGAATAGTTTATTATTTAAAACACTATTAAATACGAACTCGCAAAACAATGTAGTTAATTCTATTTCTCTTTCTCCAAAACATGGATTTAGTTTCATTAATAAAATCCAGATTAATTAAGACGTGCACAAATATTTTTATATTTCATATTTCAGAACCATTTGTTTTTCTTAAAAAGAATTATTATTTAAGACACAATAAATAGACTTCTTTTATGCAAAAAATTACATAGCCCAACTACAAAATATAATTAAGAACTCTTAATGAAATAAAATACACATAATATTTGGTGAGTTTACCATAATTAATGCCAGGAGCAGGAAATCGTGGATTCCGAATCCTAAAAATTAAGAGCTTGCCAATTATGTAATTATCTTAATCTTCACACATTAAAAGAGAGAGACTTTAGAGTTCCCGTCCTAGTATACCACTATACCTACAATACGTCTTTGATTATGATTTGAACATCAATATTAATGTCCCACAAGATCACTAATTCTATAATCATAACAACACAAGCACCCAAATACTATAAATAAATAAGAAAATCCATTGCAAGCCTCAAAAACTAGGGCTTCCCTTTATTTTTAAAGAGATAAAAATATTTGTCCCCTCGCAGAGACATACTCGATTATTTTTTGCAATGGAAAAGACTAGATATTACCACTTCCTACTCACAAAATCCGAAGAGGAGGAGCAGCAAAAGCTACATGGTGATGGTCCTTGGCCCCTGAATTTTGATGTGGTAGAAATACGGAAAAGTAGCAGTGGTGATCATCATCCCCTTGAAAGCTTGCCGCTTTTTCCATGGAAGCTCAAAGTCGAATTACCACTCAATCAAATAGGAGGCTATGGTCCTATTGAGTTAAGCGCTGGACAGGTTTTTGACCATGTTCTTAAGTACTGGGATGCGGGAACTGTGTCCCAATTGATTAGTCATGAACAAGAACAAATCCCTATCGTTGTGCAAGATTTGGATTCCGGCGTGAAGCATGATATATATCTGGTCAGGTCGAAGGAAGGCGGCGGTGGTGGTGAAGAAAAATACAAGATTCATCTTCACTGGAAGCAGAAGAATGTCAAGAAGCAAGGTGACAAGGATACTTTGTTAATTGGCATGTATTGGAATATCAGTTCTTCTTGTTTATGCTTATCTGTTTTGGATGGTCCATGTTGATGTTCTTTATTAGGTTAATTAATTAGCTAATTAATTTCTGTAAGTAGGTCGCAAACCTCCTCATGAATTTAAGATATATATTTATTCCCAGCTATAGGCTATGCCTCTTTTCTCTCTCTCTCTTTTTGTGTTGTGTCCATGTCTACAATTATAGTTGTTCCATGATATATTAGGGTTATGCATAATATGATTTTGGTAAATTGATTTTTTTTTTTTAACTTTTAACTCATAGGGATAATTAACTCAAAATGTTACACATCTAAATTGATTTTTTTGTTGAAAATAATTAACTAACTAATTAACTGCTGGAGGGAGGGCTATACTGGTTTAATTCTAATCTCTACAAATCTGTCTTTTGTTTCAATGTTTTAGGGTTCTTCGTTTTAGCAGTGTTGCTTACGGTTTTTCCTTCTATATACTGCTCTATTATGCAGTTTGGCTCTTGTTTTTCACATTTTCTGTTGGTTTATTAGAAGAATTAGTAAAAAAGTAATTACAATATTATTAGCTCAAAAAAATTGGGTATTCTTCACAATACATCAAAGGGCTTTTTTAAAAAAAAAAAACTATATAAGAGATTTAATTGAAAGATATATATATAAGTAGAAATACAGGCCAATTCATATAATATAAATATTTTATCTTGAGGCAGATTGGTTTTTGTCCTTCTTAGTTTACGATTAGCAAGAAATATTAGCTAAGATCTTAATCTTCAACTTATGGTACAC